CTTTTAACACCTGTATAACTACACCACATTTCTTTTCATCGATCACGTTTGAGTCCACGTACATGGTACTCGGGTACGCAGCCGCTTTCTTGTCCACCAGGGCAAAGAATTCTACCAGAGGCTCTCCATTACGCCACTCTACTTTATTTAACTCATTCTGCAACATCAATCTGGTGACTCGGGACGTATCTAGTAGCACCTTTTTTAATGCAGATACTAATTCTGCGAAAGTCCCCTCTTCCCGGATGTGTACCCCAGGAATGCATCCAGTGCTAATCCTGTTAAGTAGGACCGCAAGTACCGTACTTTCGTTCCATCCGATTCGTACCCATAATGGAGACTGAATTCCAGTGTTCCCTTCCCAGAGAACTTCTCTAACGCCGGAAGCTGTGTCTGCATCCGCTGCGTATACCGCAGCAGGAGTTGCTCAAACGCAGTGCTTACACCCTCGACATTGCTTTGTTGGGCTATGCCGCTAGCACTGTGCGCCTAAAGGCATGTCGCTCGAAAGCAAGGACTCACGCGATTGATGTGCCTGTTGAGCCTGTCGTTCCAATACGACTGGACGCCGGTTGTTCGGGTTGCTTCTCTTTGGCTGCCGTCGGTTCCTCTGTGTTTCGTCCTGCAACTCAATACTGTTAGCCAAAAGCACCCTTTCCCCACTGCTAAAAGCTTCCTCACCTGTCTTTGGCTGTTCGGCGCCTGTATCGCTGTCTCCTTTGGGGTCTTCTCCCAGCAATTTTTCAATCTGCAACTGAAGCTAGTTATTCACCTCTTTCAGCTTCCTTACCGTTTGCTGGGTTCCTCGCAAGGCTTTTTGCAGCTCGTCTACCCGAGCTTGCGCCTCAGCCTCGGCCGCGCTGCTCTCGCGAAGCAGGCGCGTCACCACTTTGGGCGACTTATATCCTGTCGCCTCCCACCTTTGCGCGTCATACAGATTCCTCCACAGCTGTGACGCGGATTCTACGCCGAACTGCTGGGCTACAGCAGTCAGCCCGCCGCTGGTCCTCCCCAGTGCTCCTTCTGTTCTGGCCTGTTGCAAGTCCAGCAAGACCTTAGCGGCCTCCCGCAGCTTTCCTTGCCAGGCAGCTTTCACAGCCCCCCAGGGCTGGAAACACTCTTCTACTGCTGTGGTGATACTCCGAGTGGCCACCACTCCTTCCATCACTCGCGCCTAGACCTCCTCCGGGGCATTACTAACTTCGTTTACGCTCCCCACACGGAGCCAATCTATCGCTCATTCTACCTTGCCCCAAAATTCCTCCGAAAATCCACTTACCTCTCCGCAGTCGAATCTCCTACTGTTCACGGCAAGCGGAGCTCCATCCCCGCGCCGATTGCCGTCTCGCGAGCCCCTCGCAAGCCTTCGCTATTCATTGCCATTGCCTGTCGCACGGTCCGCAGTGCAACTACTGATCCCGTGCTAGCAGCTTACTGCTGCTCCGCCTCTCTGGCTTTTTTCTTGCGCGTTCCACTGGATCGCTGCGCTTTTACCCCTTTTTTTTCCGCTTCTTTCCTTCAGCTGGGTTGCTTTAAAATCGCAACCTAGTCGGCTCAGCCCTCACCGGCTCAGCCCCCATGTTACGCGGACGACAAGGAACGACGTTACGACGACGACGATGAACGATGCTGGTGCGAGAGTTTCGGACGAGAACTTGGATGGATGCTGTTGTACTGTGGCGTGTGGTGGACAGACTGGAGTCAACAAACAAACTTTATCAACACAAACACAAGTTTACAAGGCTTCGTTGGGGCGACGGGATTAAGTTGGGCGATTGCAGCGACAGCCGCTGCGGACGAAGTGTGCTAATAACGGGATTACAGCACCACACTGCTGCACTGGATCTCTGGACGCCAAACCACGGAACACGCTGAACGCCTACGACGAACACGAAGTACACTCGATGACGATGAGACGAAACATACACACTGAATCTTACAACAAATTCACCAGCTTAAATACTCATCACAAAGAGCGGGACAGATCATGCGTCAAACTGCTGCGCGTTTCTGGATTGTTCCTTACTTCTCCTGCGCGCCATCTTTTGCTCGCTCTACACAGGCACATGAAAATTTTGGCGGATAAATTGCCAACTCGGGGACAAGAAAAGTTAGAAAGCTGAAATTTTAAAGAAATATTCCTTACTCATTCACGACAAGGTTTCAAATCCAGTTTTTTAGAATCGTCAAAGTCTCATGTATGGGCACGTGAAAATTTTGCGGGAACACTGTTAACTCGGAAACGGAAAAAGCTGGAAGGCCGAAATTTCAGGAAAATGTTCCCTACTCATGTACGACTGAAAGTTTCGAACTTAGCTGCTTAGAACCGTTTGGGTTATGAACCCGTAAAAATGTTGGCGTACAACTCGTTCAAGAAATTTTGGCGTTCAGGCCTCACGTACAGACACGCTTCCCATGATTGTACAAACTTTCATAATGGCACAATACTAGTGATATTCGCTTCCGGTGCAGCAGAAGCAGTGCTTACAAGTAGTTTATGCTCCACGTGGGGTATTTTTCGCACACCAACATTTTGTTTATCGGATCGCTAAAGCTGACCACAAAGCTGAACAGTTAACGCCCTGAACTTCGAGGACCAGTATGTCACAAATTCTAGTTATTGGGAACCCATGCGATCTTACTACAACACGAAATATTGCAAAAACACAGGGCCGCGCCGGCCCGCCCAGTGATTAAGCAAATTGAAACCTCAGTATTTCAAGCTTTATTGCTTTCAAGACTGCTTGGATTGAAAGGATTGAAAGGATAGTTTCGGGGACAGAACGAAAGACAGAGAGAGGTATAAGTTAGTTTTGGCTTTTGTCTGACTCAACGCTTAGTCGGGAAATGTCTTCTAAAAATTTGGCTTCTTCACTTTTCTGGTTATGGAGTTGCATTAACAGGCGTGCACATAGCAAATAGACAAAGATAAAATTTCGCAATAGTGCGCCGTTTTTTGCATAAAGCATGCACAATAGATTATTCACCAATTCTCGCCAGTTTTATCTTTTCATTAAGTTTTAGTGTCTGGTGCTATTTATTCGTCCAAACATGCTTCGACTTTCTAATTTCTACACAAACTCCCTTTTTTATCACTTTTTTCCAAACAAGCAATGACAGATATCTGCGAAGCTAAGTCAACAGCGCCCCCTTCCCATATTTTAAATAAAAAAGCAATGGATGAAGGAGGTAGCAGTCTCTAAGTTATCGCATCCCAAAACAGTTTATTTTCTCTGAGCAAAGCCACTGAAACAGACAACCTCTTGCGAAGCTAAATTGTGATTGATTGGAAATATGAGCGCGATTGGTATATCATGTTCCTTAAAATTTACTGCACTGCGATTGTAATTCGCCAGCATGCAATAGCTGTCCTGAAAGGCGCTATTACTTAAATTAGGTCTGCCGTTCTCATTCCAAGACCGCCTGGGCATCAGTGTTGGTATCCCGTGTTTGTAATCTTAGTGAAGTGTTAATTGCGCAACCTTCACAACTGCTTTTAAAAATATTGCTCACTGGATATCCGCCATTAAACTCGTAGTTCTACAAGAATATCAAGCTGATTAGTGAATTTTTGGATGATTATGGCAGAGTTGATGCACAACACATATTCGGTTTTTTGTTCCAATTTTTAGTCGCTTAATTCGGATAAGAATTCCCTTGTCGTTGCATCATCGGAATGCAAACACAAAAGTTATGAAGTCTGACTCTGCCAAAAGTAAAAAATTGGCCAACGCACGGGCCGCCCGTGCAAAGATGCGTTTTTTGCAGAGTTCCCCGCAGTTTTTGTCGCTACCGGCATCGGTTTTT